AAAGCAAAGAATGGATAAAAAGCACCACCTCTCAACATTTGACAACTGGTTACCTGAGATCCGGGTCCTATTAGAGCTTTCAAGGGGCAAAGCAGAAAAACAAAGGAGCATATTTTTGCAGTTTAACAATCCGGGTTTAGTCTCAGCACTGCCACTTACGGGCCTTGCGATTCAGACAAGTCCCTTCCCTTCCCTGGCTCTCAAATGCATCATCTGAAGAGGATGCAGTTCACACAGGTGACCTTTCCGTATCTTCTAGTCCTTTTTGCTACCAGCAAATTAACAGCTGGCTTCACTTTATTCACTTAATAAGCATTCAGTTGCTCCAAACATTGTCCTAGACAATGCAAAGATGACTAAGACAAGGTTCCTTTCTTGTTGAAGAGTTCAAAATCTATCCGGGGAAACAGACTTGAAAGGAAACAATGACAATCCTCTTCAGTAAATGCTATGGTAACAGTGCTGGGTGCTCCAGAGACATTAAAGGAAAGGGGATTGGGGGCAAGGATGGAATTGGCAAGGGAGGGCTTCCTAGAATGAAAAAACTATTAAATAGCATTGAGGGCTCAGCTAAAGTTGGAAAATATATGTTTAAAATGGTTCTGATAATCGGATTAGGACACAGCAGCAACCAAAGGGGAAACCATGCCCCAGGCCCCACAGCTGCAGCTAAGTACTATCACCTCTAATGGTGACAGCAAAAATTAAGTCCAGGGTTTTCTAAGGGTAGGTACACTCTGCTTTTACTGGAGGACAGTACTGCTGGAACAGACTGGCTTCAGTCTCTTGTCTGTCCACCATCCACATGAGCAAAGGAACCCAGCTGGGCATCCACAGGGAAATGCTGGGCATGGAAAGGATGGGGAGGTCACACTATTTCCTCACATGAAACATAGGAGTGTATTTTTTTATGAAACACTTATTCACCTTTGGTTGAGGAGATGGGAACCTCAGAATTATTTATCCCCATTCACTTTAGTTTTCCCTCTTCCTCTCTAGGTTTGGGAGCAAAAGGGCTATGTACATATCCCTAGTGTAGCTCTAATCCCTAGTGTATCCCTAACCCTTCTCAAATTTGAAACATGTAAATAGGGTTCTTCAATTTTGGGAAGGTGCCAACTTGGGGCTAGCAAGCTGTTCAGCCTTTGGGATGAAATTGCTCTAGCACTCAAATATAAAACTGGAAAGACCATTCTAAACACAGACATCATCTTCCAAAAACAAGTAAACTGTCTACAGCAATCTCTTAAACCTTCTATGCCCCTCTGGTGTTTAGAGTTCTTTGATTTCAGGCAGTTGTGCCTGACTCCGGCTAACTTAGGGGGAAAAAATGGAATTTATTGGAAGAACATAGGGGAGAGATGCACACAGCCAGCAAGGCAGCTAGGGATCCAGACTGAGAAAAAGACACAAAAGACATTTCCTAGGGTCCAGGCAACAGGAACCACTGGGCAGTGCCTGCAGGCACAGCTGCTGCAGGGAGGGGTCCAGTCACTTCCAGTCCTTGGATCACTGTGCTCAGGTTTCAAGCTCCAGGAAGTAAGAGTTATCTGCACTCTGGCCTGAGTTACAGCCTCCAATCCTTTGTTGCTAAAAAGGTGATAAGCTGATTAATAGCCATCCAGTCTGTATCCAATGGAAGAAAGGGAAACCTCAAAAGGAAATCAAAGTGCTGTGACCAAAAGAAATTGGAATGGCTGCCATCAGTCACCATAACAACAAAGACCCACTAAGTCCCTCAGGAACAAAGATAGTCCTTTTCATTAAACACAAGTGCAGACCAGAAATTTTAAAACCCGGAAGATAAATGTACTTCAATTAATGTGCAACTCTGAGTGAGCTCTAAGCAAAGATATATGAGGCTCTTGAAGAAAGTGGAAGTCGGTCACCATGTGATATACCAGGACCTCACTTAGGTATAAGCTAAGTGAGAATTATCAAAAAAAGAAATTAACTATGCAAACAGTGGCCATAAAAGAGCTAGAATACCTGTATTAACATCAAATGAAATAGACTTTCTGACAAGAAATATTACAAGATATAAAGAAAGACATTTTACAATAAAAAGCTAAATACAATAAGAAGATATATATAATCATAAATATATATGCACCTAACAGTAGAATCCCAAAACACATGAAGTAATCACTAACAGAACTAAAAGGAGAAATAGGCAATTCAACAATGAGTTGGAGGTTTTAGTTATTGATAGAACAGGAGTCTGAATAAATTTAAAGAGATTAAAAATATACAAAGTATGTCTCTGCCCACCTGGAATTAAATTAGAGATCCACAATAGAAATAAATTTGGGAAAGCCCCAAACCTTTGGAAATTAAACAGCACATGTCTAAGTAACACAGGAGTTCAAAAGGGAAACCACAAAGGAAATTTAAAAATTTTTGGAACTTAATGAAAACAAAAAGACAACATACCAAAATTCATGGGAAGCGGCCAAAAGAGTGCTTAGAGGACACTTCATAACTTTAAACACCATTATCAGAAAAGATCTCACCAATTACGTAAGCTTCCACCTTAAGAAACTAGAAAAAGAAAAGCAAACTAAATCAAATGGGAAAAAAGTAAATAATACAGAATTTAAATCAATGAAACAGAAAAGCAATAGAAAAAATGGATAAAACCAAGAAGAAATACAATATTGTTAAGACGGCAATTCCCCAAACTGATCTTTACATTCAAAGCAATCTCTGTCAAAATCTCAGTAGAATTTTCTATAACAACCAGCAGCTGACCTTAAAATTTAAATGAAAATGCAAAGAACCTAGTATAGCCAAAACAATTTTAAAAAGAACCAAGTGGGAGGACTTACACTGCCTCATTTCAAAATGTACTCTAAAGCTAGAAATTAAGGCAGTGTGGTATTGGCATAGGAAAACCATACAGATCAATGGACTCAAGAAATAAACCCTTCTATGTTATGGCCAATTGACTTTCAACAAAGGAACAAGTGGGAAAATGGTAAGATTTCCCTTGGATACCCATATTTTAAAAATTAACTTAGACCTTTACCTCACTTTGTACAGTGGATCACAGACCTAAATGATCATTAAAATTTTTGAATGTTGCACTTCCAAAGCCACCATTAGGAAATGAAAATGTAAGCTGCAAAATGGGAGAAAATATTTGCAAATCATGTATCCCATAAGGGGCTTGTATCCAGACTATTATAAAGAACTTTTACTACTCAATAATAAGGCAAACAGTCCAATTTATAAACGGGTTCTGATGCGTGCTACAACATGGATGAACTTGAAAACTTTATGCTACGTGAAATAACTCAGAAACAAAGAACAAACACCATGTTCATTCCATTTATATGATGTACCTAGAATGGGCAAATTCATTGAGGCAGAAATAATTACTTTCTAAAAATAATTTTTAAAAAATGGGTAGAACACTTGAGTAAACACTTCACCAAAGAAGACATACAAATGACCAATAAGTCCATGAAAAAGTGCTCAGCATCATTCGTCACTAGGGAACGGCACGTTATAAGAACAGTGAAATACCACTACACATTCACTCAAGTGCTAGAGTCAAAAGGATAGAAAATATCAAGCACTAGTGAGGATGTGGAGAAACTGGCAACCTCAGACTTTGCTGGTGAGATTGTAAGATGGTATAGCCACTTTGGAAAATTATTGGGCTAGCTTTTAAAAAGTTAAACATAAGCTTACTGTAAGACCCAGCAATTCCATTCCTACAAATTTACCCAAGAGAAATGAAAACATAGGTACACACAAAGACATACACAAGTGTTCATAGCAGCTTTATTCGTAATAGCTAAAAACTGGAAACACTCTAAATGTCACCAGCTAATGAACAGATAAACAGAATGGGATATAATCCATACAACAGGATGCTACTAAGACATGCAAAGAAACAAACTACGGATACATCTTAGACCATGGCTGAACCTCAGAAAGATTATACTAAGTGAAATAAGGCAGACGAAAAAGACTTCATTTTGTAAGATTCCACTTACATGGAATGTCCAGAAAAGAAATTTATGGAGACAGAAAGCAGATTATTGGTTGCTTGGGGCCAGGGTGGAAGTAAGGATTGACTGAAAACAGGTTTATATAAATTTTGGGGGGTGATGGAAATGTTTAACAACTGAATTGTGCTGATGGTTGCATAATTCTATAAATTTACTAAAGATCATTACATTGTACACTTATAATGGGTAGATTTTCGCAGCTTTTAAATTATACCTCAATAAAGCTGTTAGAAACAAACACTGAAAAAGAAAATGACGCTTAATTCCAGGGAACGTAATAAAGATACAATCTCCATGACTTAAAGGTTTTCCTTAATCTAGCCACATATCTTTTATTCATATATTTTAAAATTACACATGAAGGATATTACCATGGTTCAACAATGGAAGCCCAGGCTCTAAACGATCTTAAGCTTTGGGAACTAAATTGTGTCCTTCCCATGATTGCTCAATAAATAGCAGTAAATTTAAAAATTCTAAATATAGACAATATGGCCTTTTGGGGGGCTAATTTCAGAGAAAATAAAATCAATAAAAGGGGAGTCTAAGAAGCAATTTAGATTCCTAGATTGTTTGGGTAATAAACTGTATTATATATACGATCATTATAACCTAGAAACATTTCATCTGAAGCAGCAAAGGCTGACCTAGTAATTGATTTAATAGCTGTCTTCAATGACATGAAGGGTTTTACAGGAAAACTATTTAACTAGTTCTCTCTTTCCATTGAGACCGGAACAAAACAGTGATTTAATAACCAGCAAGGTAAATTTAGATTAAACATAACACTCACAGTAACTGCTATCAAATACTGGAATAAATTTAATTAAGACACCTGTTAAAGCTGTTTCCGTGGCCATCATTAAGAGCAGCTTTGGTCTGAACGCATTACGGCCTGGGAGGTGGAAATGGGACTTGCTGACCACCTGATGGGGAGCCAGTGGGAAGGAGCACAGCCCACCTGACTTTCACACACCTTACCTCGATATCGCGATTAAGTTGCTTCACTATGGCAGTTATGTTTCTGATGTGCTCCTCCAAGAAGAGCCTAGCCAAGCGGTCGCCTCCCCCTTTGTTTTGCATTTTCTGCAAACTGTTGACGATGTCGTCTTTAATCCGGAAGGCATGCTCCACCAGGGCAGCAGTGGTTTTCTCGTGGCAGAGGATCCTGTCTTCCAGCTGCTCCACTAGGCTTACTGATGAGTAGGGTGCCATGGTCAGGGACTGGCTGTGTCTGGGCATGGTTCTAACTCGCCTGTGGGAGGAAGCCACATTACTAGGGTTGTTAGTTGGAAAAAAAAATGTCTAAAGCTAGATTCAAGACATCCAGAAAAGGAAATGCAAATTATCTATCCCTAACAAGCTAAATGGGGTTTGAGGCAGAGTTTTCTTCATGACCCAGGCACTATCTTTAAACAACTGTATCCAGAGAGTTAAGTGTACTAGTAGCAGGCTCCATGACCTCCAAAAGTAAGAGGCCGATGGAACTGGGCACACTGAGATGTCTCCCCAGTAGAAGCTGTTATTGAAGTCTGGCTTGTAAACAAAACCTCCTGAAGTACCCTCCTCTCCAACACCCCCTTAAACCAGAGGTTACAAATCCAAATGCCTACAGGGGTCAAGCAGGGGACATACATGAGTGAAGCATACCACACATGATGCAATAGGGAGTAGTGGGGAGTTGAGAGAACTGGAAAGGGCATTCGTCAACTACAGGCAGCCACAATTCTGCTCCATGCATGAGTGACCATAGAACACAGGCCCATTTTTCCAGATGATCTGATATTTCAACAGCCAGGAAATTCAGACTTGTATGTGAAATCACCTAATTTTTAAATGATAACAACTCATTTAAGAAGTATTTAAGATGATACAGGCCAAACAATGTACTTTCCTGGGCCAGTTTTGGCCCATGGGCAGCCAGTTTGCACTTTCTGATTAAAAGGATTAGCAGGGACATTAGCCCCCAAGTCTCCAGAGTTAAGATTTTACTGTTGACCAGAAATATAACTGTCCTGCAGGACTACTGTGAAATCTCCACCTCTTGCAGCCACTGAGGGGCCAACAGTAACTACAAAAGGGAAGCTAGAGTGGGGGCACAACAGCACTTCTCCTGCCCTTGAACAAAATCATTGTTGGATAATGTAACAGCCACAAAGCTTCATATGTAATGACTATGTCACCCACTAGCAGCCCTCATGGGATTGGTGGAAAGGAAAAGTATACCTTAGATGCATATTTTCCATATATTATACCTTTCCTCGGTGACAAGAGAAGGAAATACAGTGCTCCTTTGGGCCATTTTCTTTTTAATAATTCACATCTGTTGAAAAAATAAATATTAAATTTTTTAAGTTTAGAACTTAAATGACCTCTGAAACTTATTACTAATTGCTAAGAGGATCATAAATTACCCTCAGTTAAATCATTAAATGCCTTATATCTTATATATGAAATAAATAGCAAATGTTTCCAAACAAGGATCAAAGAATCAAAATGCTTCTGAAATTAACACCACTAAGCCCTATTAGACAGTCAAGCAAAGACTATTGCATGGAGTTTTCTCAAGTTCCTTCATCTGAAATGTGCATTTCAAACTTGAGACTGCTTTTACAAACACAAGAAAACTTCTTTAACAGGCTTATTTAATCTTGTAAAGTAGGTAACTACCTTAGTAAATTTGACCTCAGCAAATTTAGAGAATTTCATAGCAAATTAAGATCACTTGTTTCTAAGCTAATCTTAAAACAATGCATAATCAATGGGATCTGACTGGGGAGAACCTATCTATCCACTAAGAGAATGAGAATGATACTCTTCATTAAAACTTTATTCTAAGATATAATCATTCATAGCACACATAATGTAGGGGGGTCATGGAGAAGGCAGTATAGCACAGAGAAGACAAGTATTGATTCTGTAGCATCTTACTTACACTGATGGACAGTGACTGCAGTAAGGTGTGTGAGGGGGGGAACCTGATAATATGGGTGAATGTAGTAACCACAATGTTGTTCATGTGAAACCTTCATAAGATTGTATATCAATGATACCTTAATAAAAAAGATATAATCATTCATATTACATCTCGCATATAAGAAACATTTTGATCATCACAATGCATTAGAAATCTGAACGAAACTGGAGGGTTTTAAAAATATCTCATTACTTAGGTTTCTCAATAATGCTGTTAATTGCCTTAAAACAAAGAATGCCTAGTAACCAGGATCTGATTCAGTAATTTGTTCTCATTTAGATGCTGGATTCAGAAAGCAATTCTGATTGAAACCATTGTTTTGGCGTCATCTCCTCAGTGTTATTTTTAGAGTTTCAAAATGAGAACATTTCATTTTCCTAGACAAAGAAATTTGAATTTAAACAAATTACATTTAAAAAAAAGTGATTCATGCCAAATAAGCTATGATGCCAAAGGAATCTTCGGAATCAAAGATAATAATTTCTGCCATTTAGACTATATAAAATGAGGCCAGTATGGAAGATACTAATATTTAGAATCATAGAATCTTCACAATTTTTAAGCTGTAAAATACCTTAGTTGAGATATTAAACTATAGAACAGCCTAGCCTAAGATATGCTTAGTTGGCATCAATCATGCAGCCAAATAACCTAAACAGGTCAGACAAAACTCCCCTCCCTCAAGGGCTTCACCGCTTATGAAGAAAGGCAGATGCCTTAACCACGAAAACAATGCGTTAAGTGACTACTATCCATTCAAACAAAAACCCATAGGGAGGGAAAAAGGAGAGGGCTCAGTTTTTCCTGGATAGCAGCTAGTTCAGGGAAGAACTAATGAGAATGAGTAGGATTTCCCAAAGTAGAGAATAGAGATTGTTCCACACCTGCCTCAACACTCCAACACTCTCTCTACTTCCTTCACTCTTGACACACTAGATTAATCCATTGTCCAGCCCCAAACTTGGGCACTCCTCATATTCACCTGCTCCAGTCAACAATAACCCTCCCCACCGCCACTCCTGCCACCAGTGTCCTTGGAAGTGTCATGCTCTCTGCTGCCATCAGACCTTTGACGTGTACTCTATCCAAAATGCCCTTCCCATCCCTGCCTATCTAGAAAACTCTTATTTACCCTTTAAGGCCCCACCTGACTCTCAATTCAATTCGTGTTTCTTCATCTCTTTATTCTGGATATATAATACAACTTACTATGCCTTATTATTTTGTTTAATTGTTTAATTGTCTGCTAAACTACATGCTCCTTAAGGGCATGTCTCAAAATATTAATAGCCATAGAACTGACCTAGAAGACTGCACACATTTGTTAATGAGAGCCTGACGCCTGACTTGTATTTCACTATCAGAAATTGCAGCAATGAAGGCATTGGAAAATATGTTCTAGTTAAAAAGTATAGTTCTTTATAACGACTGTATCCCAAACATTAGCCTCTCAACATAACATCTGTGAGCGAATGCAGACTTTTGGAATCCCCTTTTCTGAAGGTCATTTCATTCATCCAGAATTATTCTGCCTGAGCTACAGAAGCCCAACCACATCATCTTTCTGAGAAAGGTCTATCAACCACCACTCATTGCCTCAGACTGCTTTTCAGTAACTAACCTTTGTATTACCAAGTGCTACGTGCTCTCTGAGACAGGAAATGTCACATGGCATGAGTTTGGAGCTCACACTGAAGTCTGTTCAGAATTGGTGCCCTTTTCTTGAATGTGGTGGGAATCTTTCCCTGTTAGGCTGCTTGCTTGATGCGTATGACTTTTTGCCAGAACAATGGGATCTATATTGCAAACTAATAAGAATTAAAAATAAGTAAGTCACTGAATTAAATACTTCTCAAAGACCATTTCCAGATCTTTCCACTGTCAATTTTGGCTTATCCACCCAAGGTTATCAGCTCCTGGACATCAATAAATCTGATCTCTAGCACCACAGTGGGCCTACAACATTAGTAGCCAAATCTGAACCATATATTTTGATTGTGCCACATTTTCCTGTTACAGTATTATCTCCAATTTATGAGTTTAAAAAACTTGGGCAAACTAGGGGAAGGGACAGGTAGGTAAAGCAAGGAGAGAAGTATTGAGAGAAATGAGAAAAAGCAAAATCATAATTCCCAAAATACGTGATATATAATATAGAATTTTGGGGTTCACACAAGAGTAAAGGGAAATGTCAAACCAAAATAATTATTTGTGATTAGAAGAATTCTGAGCATTTACATAAAATATATTCTCAGATATACATTTGAATATATATTTTAATGACAAAAGGAGACATTAATGTCAACCAATATTTTTATAAGATAACATTGAGTAGAAACACCTGATATCATTTTAATGTAAAATGATACATTAAATAAAATAAAATTTAACAAATTTTAGTTAATAAAAAATTAAAGTTTGAAACTTAAATAACAGTCACTTAAAGTTAATTCAGTTTTTCAAAGCTTACTATTTAATACAGTATTAATGTGTTCTGCTGAGTGTCATAATAAAAAAATTGGCAAGGCATTTATGAATAAAGTGGTTGTAATTGGTTTTAGGGGAAAAAAATTCTATTTCCTTGTAGTTAAAAATAGAGTGCAAGGATGCAGGGCGAAGAGCAGCTGGAGGTGCATCTACAAAGACTGGTGGGAGGGATTCGTTTCAGGGAGTCGCTCCCTAACTCATCACTTACGCCAGGCTCAGGCCGTGGACTTTGCCCTGGGGCAGTGAAGTGCTATCAGGGATGCGAAGCGGAAGGCAGGCTGCCTGCGGGTCTCAGATCACCAGCGGCAGGAGTTAGAAGGGAGAGATCACAGCGGTAGACCGAGACCAGGGACTCAGCCAGTCAGGGATGTTCCTCGGCCTGGGAAGGGACAGCAGCTTGGGGCTCACTCAAAGCATCATTTCTCCCCCACCGCTGGCCTCTTCTGCTCCTTCCCCCACTTTTCACTGCCTCCTGTCTCTCAATTGCCTTTTTCTTTTCCTATCACTGATCACTCACCATTCACTATCCTTTGCTTTTTCCCTTTTCTTAACTTCCTAGTTCACTGTCCATTACCTGCCTTCTACTCTCTCTCTTTTCCCTCCTACTGGTCTCCTGTTTCACAGCTATAGTCTGACATACTTCTCTTTCATGGAAAACAGGAGGCGGGGTCAGAACGACCCTTATTTGAATCCTGGCTTCCAGCCAAGTGTATGATCTTACCAGGCCAGCCTTAAGTGTGTGGGGTCAGTAAGAACATAAATAGCTGCTCACTCTTACCAAGTCGTTTACCCTGGGGCAGGCACTCAGGAGCACATTTCAGTAAAGGGATTGCTCTTATCTCCATTTAACCAGAGACTTGTGGCAACTGGCCAGAGGTCATATAGCAGGAAAGAACAGAGCAGGAATTTGAACCTAGGGCCTTAGCCTCTTCTACACCAGACATTACTCCCAGGGAGGCTATGGGGTCTCCAGAAGTGCCTTAGGACACCTGATATGATTCCAAAAGGGCTGGTTCCCTCCCCCTCCCTGGCTAAAGCACATCTAATAGGAAATATATCTATTTTTTAAATAAAACTTTATATAAAGGATCCAACAAGAAGTATTCATTTGTTTAAAGAGTTATTATATTGTTTACTGCGTGGGGTTAGTGGTGAAATTATTAGGTACCTGCTCTAACTCCTTCATTCAGCCAGAGCTGCTCCTCCTGGCATCAGCATGTGTTGCGGTTACCGCTGGACAGAAGGCATACTACTGTCACTTGTGTTTTTTAAACCAGAGTACATACATGAAAAGAACAATTAGCAACATGTATATTTTGCATGAAGGAATTTGCAATGTTTTAAGAAACACCTTTTCTTAGACCAAAAAATTGCCTTTTGTGATTAATGAGGTAATATAATAGTAAAATTTAGGCTCTACATAAAGGCATAAAGAATAAAGTAAAAATCACCACTCAGAAATTGCTGATGTTAATACTGCAATTTACATTTCAAGCTCTCCCTCCAGGATACATTTAATTTTCCTTTTTGAAAAAAATGATATCATACTCTATACTATGTATACCCTGCATTTCGTAATTGACACTATATCATGAACATCTTCCCATGTAAATATATAAACCTACACATCAGTTTTTAATGCCTGCATAATATTCCACTGAATGGATATACCATTTTTGTTAGGCAGTCCCAAACTAATGGGCATTTACTGAAATATCACTTATAATCGTGGGATAGTTTGATTTTTTGTTCTCTTATTTTCCTTTCCTTTGTTCTATGAATGATGAAGGTCATATGAAAAGTCAAAGGAGCAGCATACTAACTACTTTCAAAATTGAAGTTAAGGTGAGATGCTGACA